CACACACACACACACACACACACACACACACACACACACACACACACAAATATGCTGCAGATGTATGTATAGCATGAACAGAGCTCACTGTTGACTCCAGCCAAGTCCATTAGCCAAAGCTGCCATGGAAACTAGTGTGGAAGAGCCCATTCAAGGTTGGGGGCAGACAGGGCTGGGGGGAACAGTAAGGGAAAAATGGCAAGGGAAAGGACCACAAAAAAACCTGTTTTTTCTGTGCAGACCTGTTTATGAAGTGAGAAATGGTTTCAGGGCAGCTGCTGCAAATTCTTTCACTAGCTTATATTTCCATTTGCTTCCTTTTTAAAGAATTTGTTTTATGAGCACAGCGTTTGTCAGGTCATTAGCTTCCGAGGGCATCTGGTACCAATTGTGGGCCTCTTCCCCCTCCCTCTCCATTCGGTTGTACCACTCTGTAACTGTGCCCCCAGCACACATGCATACAACACACGTGCACGCTCACCTTCCCCATCCCAGCCTTTGCCACACACTGAATTAAACTGAGCCTTCTCAGGTGCATGCATCTGAGCCTGCATGCATACGTGCGTCTGTGTACACAGGCATGTGAATGGTGTGCAGGGGGTTGAGACTCTTTCCTTTCTAGACTTTTTCTTGCCTCCAGTCTAACACCAGCAAGGAAACTCACAAAGAAATTTGGTATGTTGTGCAAATCATATAGCTTTGCATGTGCACGCACACATGCGCGCGCACGCGCGCACACACACACACACACACACGAATCTTCAACCATGTATTTCTCATGTGTACTGTGGTGGTACACTGGAGTCTAATCAGAGGCCACCGCATCACAGTACTAGGTGCTATGCTGCTTCCAAAAGCTTCTGCAGCTCTGATCTAGTCAGTCTGTAAAGTGCAAATCTGCCTGACTTCAGACTAGCACAGCGAACTAAATCTCTCTAGCAGGCCTGCACCATGCGATCAGAACTGTGCCTAGCTACAACAGAGCTTAGCACAGAGATGTGATGATTGGATGCCCGGGGAAGCAGACACACGCAGGGGCAGCAGTGATTTCCGGGTGCCACCACACTGCCAGCATGATTGTGCAGCTGCATCAACAGCTGTTTTTTTTTTCTGCACCTCTCTCCTCCCTCCCAAGACGGTGCCTGGGGTGGCTGCCCTAGTAGCCCCATCCTACTTCTGCCACTTAACAAAAGCTTAACAACAGCTGACATAACTCTACTGACTTTGGTGGAAGTACAGGAACAGAAAGCTTCATCTATTGTCTCTCAGACGGATCTGCTGATCGTCACGGAGAAAAATATTTTTTGTGTTAAAACAGTGATGATAATGATGGTGATGAGGACAAGAAGGATGATTTGCACTATGGTAGCACCAAGGAGCCCCAGTCAAGGAAAACCATGAACCCACTATGCTAGGTATTGTACAAAAAGAGAATCCATGCATTATATTTTACTTCAAGATTAGAATCCATCATTTACCATGCTCAGCATGACTTAGCAGGCTTAGCACGACTCTCAGGAACAAGTCACTGTCTGTAGGGGCTAAAACTCTACTAGCAGTGAGTGAGCGACCTACTGGTATTATCATCACACTTCTCATCTCAGCATGAAATAGATGTTTTTCTTTTTCTCCTTTGGATTATAACAGATAGATATAGCTTATCCCTGCACCCCACTTTTCCAGACTGGGACATTCTAGCATCTTGGATAAAGCCATTCAAGAAAAACAAGGAGCCAATAATTATTTTTCACCCTCCTTAGGCTTGAACCATCTAAAAATCATTCATGTTTTTGTTAGCTTGTTTTGAAACCCAAACAAAGTAACTTTCAGTGACATTTTAGCAAAAGGTCAGGTTTTTTTTCCATCCAGACATGTGCCTTTTCAAAATGTCTTGTGCTTCATGGCCAAAGCTCGTTAATGAAACAAAGTTCGAATCTGGAATTTTTTGAAACTGTCGAGGTTTTCCTTGAGGTTTTCTAATAGCTGTGAAAAGGTCAGGATTTCTCATGAAATTGGATAAGTTTTCCACACACATAGCAAAACTTCAAAT